CTTTTTAAAGCGGCCCCACCAAGCCCCGGCTCTGCCCCTCTCCAGGCAGGGCTGGAGAGGCCTCCCGGGCGCGACTCCCCGGCGGTTCCGGGCGGCCCGGAGGGGGATTTGCAACGGCCGCCGCGGGCCTGCGGACCGATATTCCCCTTTAAGCCTGGTGTCTCGCCCCCCCTCGCCAGGCCCGCCGCTTACCGGCTCGCTTTGCGCCCTCCGCCTCCTCCCGAAAACGGGCCGCGGCGCTCCCACAATGCACCGGGCGCGCCGGGCTCCCTTAAGCGTCGCCTGAATAAAAATGCCGCTCCGGGCGGGCGGGCGGGCGGAGGCCGGGCTGGGCCTGGGCTGGGCGCGGCCCTCCGGGAACCGGGCCGCCGCGGTCCCGCCGGGTCGGCGTAAGGGTCCTTTAAGGCCTGCCACCTCCCTTTAAGAGGCGGCGGGCCGCGGCTGGGTGGCTGCGTGCGGCCCGGGAAGGGGGCGGGGGCGCCGTGCAGGCCCGAGCGCGGCAATGATTGGTCTCGGGGGAGGGGTGGGGGGGTTGCAAACCCGGGGAGCGGTGGCATCCGTTGCACGATGAAAAAAAAAAGAAGGGGGGGGGATTGATTTCAAAAAGTTGCATTGGCGGCGGCAGCCCCGGGCGCCGGGGCCACCTACTTTCCCTCCCTCCCTCCCGCCCCTCGGCCCGCCGGCTGGACCAGGCAGGGGGAGGGTTTTGTGCAATCTTGCCGGGCTGGCACCGCGCATCGCCGGCGGGATTCGGCCGGTACCGGCTCCCTGCGAGCGAAGGTGCTGGAAGACAAAGACCCAGGAAAGCGATTTGCAGAGGGAAATGATTTGCAATTTAATTTGCGGGGTAGAGGGGGGGGGGGAGAAGGAGGTGGGGGAGACCCGGCAGCCGCTGCTGCCCAGGGAAGATTTGAAAAATCCACCGCCGCGAGCCCCGGCGTCTCCTTCCACCTATTGTCTGGCCGGGCCCCGGACTGCGCGGGAGCCTGCGTGCGACGTGCAAATGTCCTGCGAAGTCTTCTTTTGGAACATTCGAGACGCTGGGTGGGAAAGTCTCGGGAGGGAGGGGGGCGGTGGGAAAAAGCGTGGCGGTTCCCCGGGTTGCGCGGTGTGTTTTCCCGCACGTCGCGGTCAACATGGCAGCCCGATCCTGGGTCTGTCTGCTTTGCCTTGGCCTCCGCGGCGCAGCTCCACCTCCCGAAGTGTGGGTTTGGGGTTTGTTTGTTGAATGCATTGTCTGTCGGTGCAAACAAAGACAACAAAACGAAATGCTTCCACACGTCGTGCCGGGATCGCTTTAGAAACGCGCGAGGATAGATCTAACTTTCTTGGTCTTCTTTTTTCATGGGCCAGCCCTTTTACAATGATTTGGGGGTCGAAATGTGGCGGGGGTCACGGAACTAGGCTTTATCCGGTTTGCACGCCTCCACGCTTCAACGTCTCGCTTTGGCATCCTCTGGTCGCCAGGTTCCTGGGGTTTGATGAATCTAGGTGGTGCCAGATGGGCGCAGGCTTCTCCGGTCGGTCTTTGTGTCCTTTCTCCCAACCCCACGATAACTTTCGTGGATGTGCTCTGTGAAAACAGTCGAAGAGCAGCGGCACCCTGCGGTTGACAACCCTGGAGTTGCTTGTGAGTCTCTTGGAAAGAAGATTTGGGTACCCACCAGCACCAAGAACCAGCCCTAGGACTCCTGAGTCAAAAAGGAGGGATAAAAAAGTACCTTTATTCCTGCCCCCACTTTTAAATTGGTTTTGCGTTTTGAACATTGAGGGCTTTCTTTCCTTTTATTTTTCACTTGGTGTCACCCAAAAGGCCAAGAAGTAATGTTTGTTTTTGAGCCCCCCCAAAAAACCTTTTTTTTCCAATTAGGGTGGGGGAAAAAGACTTGGGGTGAGGGAAGGTAATATATAAAGGTCAGGGGTAGCGGATGAAGATTTGTGTCACACTAAGAAGTAGCTTTTGCTCTGCTGTGAGGTTGGAAGGTAGCCACCCCCAGAAGAGACAGCAAGATCACACTTCTAGTTAAGAGGGCATTGTACCAGCTCTGCCAGCAGTGATCCCAGCACGTGTACTTAAACTGAAAGCAACTGGGGCTTGTCAGGGGAAGTTGGTGTGATTTAACATGTCAGAAGAAGCAGAGCATCACAGCTCCCTTCCTCACAAATACCACCTGATTTCTAGCTTGGAGGGACTGGACGGGTAGTAAGGCCACCAACGAGTCGAGGAGCCTACTGGAGGAAGCAAGCTAGTTTGGGGTTGAGTTGAGTTGTGGAAAGGAGCTCTGGGCTTGAGATTCAACTCTGGATGCCATCACCTTCTAACTCCGGAAGAGGGGTAGGATTAACCCTGCTGGAGCCAGATTGCTGGAGAGGAAGTGAGGAGACCTTGGACAGAGCTCCACAGACTAGGAAATCATCCCAGCCATCACTAGCCAGCTGTGTCCCCACAACAAACCTTTCCCACCAATCTGGAGATTTCTTCACTAAGCTGCAGCTACTCTCAACCCAATACCCTTAGGTCCAGACCTTTGTCCTCTTGAAGCTCCTCCCCAACCCCTCCCTGCTCCAAGTTCCCTATAGGGTTCACCTGAACCCCATTCCTGGAAGCCACCTCCCTTCTCAGGTTTTACTGGTACCAAGATAGATAGATGAAGAGACAGGGAAATTAAAATTTAATACCTATTAAAAGGACCAGGTTTAGACCTTAAACCCGGGAAGCTGAAAAAACAAGCAAACATCCCCTGGAGCAGTTAGCTCCCTCCCCTCTTCTTTTAGGTGTTAAGTTACATGAATGTGGGATCATCTAAATCTGCCTTCTTTGAGATGCTAAAAAACCTGTTAAGTCTCCCATTTTGAGTGAAGGAGCAAGAGCTCACCTGCTCAGTATTTATTCTGGGTACCCTAATCCAATCCCCACGTTTAGAATAATAAGCAGCGTGCATTTAGCTGCCCTAAACCAATTGTCTAAAGATTAGAGGTTGCTCGCTAGACGTAACCACGTGCATTCTCCCAGCTCAGAGAGTATAAGGATGCAGGTTTAAAAAAATATATATCACTCCCATTTCTTTCATGGGAATCAGGAAACATTTCTCTTTTCCATGTCTCCCTCCTTTATCCTGTTATACTAAAATCCATGCTAAAACTTCTACCTTGTGAGACTCCCCTTTTTTGTGACACCATCTAAAATGCTTTTCACGCATGGATCTCAAGGATCTGTGATTCTGCGTGGAAACTGGGAAGCTAAGGAAGTTCTTACCCAACCTCTGGCGAGGTGATGGGTGCGCTCCCCATCCTCACCCACTTCTGAAACCTGAGCCCTGGTTCCCCTGGGCAACATACTTGACTGAGGCTTATTAAAAACACCAATTTGCCAATTTGAAAAGTTATACCTAATGGGTGTAATAGGTTGAATTATACTCTCCAAAAGATTTGATGAAGTCCCCTCCCCCTCCTAGTACCCATGAATGTGCTCTTATTTGGAAATGGGGAGGAGTGGGGATTTCCAATCAGTGGTAGAGCACTTGCCTAGCATATGTGAGGCTCTGAATTCCATTCCCAGCATGGGAAGGAAGGAAGGAAAGAAGAAAACCCTGGCACCAGTAGCTCATTCCTGGACTCCTAGTTTCTTGGAAGGCTGAAATCTGACGGTTGCAGTTCAGAACCAGCCCCGACAGAAAAGTACAAGTCCACAAGGAAGCTCAAGGCTATCAAACTCATATTTTCAATTAACCACTAAAAAGAAATGGAGCTGTGGCTTACGTGGTGGAGCACTAGCAAAGAAGAGGAGGAGGAGGAGGCTGCGGCTGAGGAAGCAGCCGGGAGACAATGCCCAAGTGCTGAGTTCAAGGCAGGATACCAACACACACACACACACACACACACACAAATAATAATAATAATGGCTGGGTGGCCTAGTGGTAGAGTGCTTGCCTCACATGCATGAAGCCTGGGTTCGATTCCTCAGTACCACATACACAGAAAAAGATGGAAGTGAATGCTGTGGCTCAAGTGGTAGAGTGCTAGCCTTTAGCAAAAGAAGCTCAGGGACAGTGCCTAGGGGGATTAGAGTCTTTGTAGATGTAATTGAGATCAATGAAATCAGGGTGAATTGTGAATTAGAATGGGTCTAAAATCCAATGGCTATGTCTTTACAAAGAAATATATGTGTGTAGCACCATATGCTGTAATATCAGTCCCTGGGAGGCAGAGCAGGAGTATAAGTGATTCCAGGCCAGACCCAGAAATAAAATATAGAGAGAAGGATAGAATAAAATAGAGAATTTTGGAGGCACAGGTACCCAAAGAAGACCATAACAGAAAACACACACTAAAGATTGCCAACAAATGCCAGATGCTGGAAGAAGTAAGAAATGCAGCCCTGTTGCTTACGTGTATGTGCATGCAAGTGCACACATGTATGTGTAGTTATAATAAGCTGTGTTTTAGGGGCTGGGAAGGTGGCTCAGTGGTAGAGCGGTTGCCTTGCATGCCTGAGGCCCTGGGTTTGATTCCTCAGCACCACATAAGCAAAAAGAAAAAAGCCAGAAGTGGTGCTGTGGCTCAAGTGGTAGAGCGCTAACCTTGAGCTGAAGAGCTGAGGGACAGCGCCCAGGCTCAGAGTTCAGGCCCCACGACCGGACCCAAAAAAAAAAAAAAAAAGATCCAAACTATAACAGTCTTATTCTTACTCTTAAATGGCATTTTCCTCCCAGGATTGTAATGGCTTTGTGATTTTCTAAGGCTGGGCACTGGGCCAGGAGCGTCTGTCACCTCCTGGAGGTAGAGAAAATGCAAGTTGGGGCCCTCTGTATCTGGCCTTTGACTTGGAGGTGGAGAGTGATCTCTGTTTTGGCAAACCCTGCAGGGCATTCTGGTGCAAAGTTTCATTGGTGAACCACTGCTCCAGTACAACCAAGAGACCCTGGCCTTCTCTCTGTACCAGCCTGGTGCATTCCTCACGGAGTTCCACAGGTCCAAGAATGCTGCAGATTCATCCTAACAGAAGCTGCCTGATGGTGCTAAGAGTTCCCCATGCTTGGCTGGGCCTGGTTTGTCAAAGCTCATACTAGCCCTGATCTTAGGGTTCTCTCTGGACCTCCTTAAAGTTGCCCACATCAGATCAGAAATGTCCAGACTCCAGACACAGGCACAGCTGAAGTGTTTTCCCCGATGTACACAGAGCCCACAGCAAAGTGGATACTGATGGATCTGTCAGTAGTGGGGTGTCTCTGTGCTCTCCTGCCGCTGGCACCACGCTCGGCTCCTGCTTGTTCAAGGCCTGCTATCCTTCTTAGTTTAGCTTTTAAAAGCT